ATGCGGTAAATAATAACTAGGGCTGACTCTGCTTAGCTTCCAATATCATAATAATATAGTCTAAAAGAATAACAAAGTGCTTGTTCTTAAGAGTGAACAAGTGGAGTGTTGATGCTAACTCTGCTTATAGGGACTACTTTTCATAGGTTGTGAGTTCAGGTAATTAGAGGGCTAGGAGAGAGATCTTAAAAATATACAAATTTAGCTGATTAATGGTAGAGAATATTTAGTCACTCAGTCAAATGAGACAGGGGTGAGGAATTCTTCATATTTGAGCTGTCAATTGAAAATCTCAGTTCCTGCTTCCTTCCCTTCTACTTGTAGCTTTGACTCCATCTGGAAAGTCCAAGCAACCAATGCTGCCCATCAAGGCACTGATCACCCATATACGTCCCTTAAAACCCATTGTGGTGTAGGATTGGATGCTCCTGTACCATGCAGTGGGATGTATTCATTAAAATGGAAAAAATAAAGTAAAGCTCTTACCCTTAGCAATTACCTCTTTTCTATAATTATTATTATACAGTTTATATTGGATTATCGTTTGGCACATAGTAATTATGCATCTATTCCAAATTATATAGGAATTATCTGTGCCTGACTGATTTTTATAAAGTAGCTGCTATCCTCACTAGTCTGGAGGCTGAAATCAAACAACCATGTTGTAGTGATAAAAAAACATACATTGCAATCTTAAGCTCATTTTGAAGTCTTCTTGTAATGGGCTCTTTATGTTCTAAGTTTCTCCCCTAATGTAGGGGTAAACAGGAAGTTTAGTTGGGTTGCTACATTGTAAAGATGACTGCTTCACTTTGCAACTGCAAACTTTTTAAAGCAGCAACAATGTGTCAAGTAGTTGTCTCTTTCCTCATCAATTTAATCTGTCAGAGGAAGCACTGCATGGGCTTCTTATATTTCTAGCATTAACGTTGTAGACTAGACAAGAGAAACAAAGAATAAATGTGAGAAAGTTTATGCATTCATTTTTTAGCTTAGTTTTGGTTGGAAAATAACAGCTGAAATAGAAATTGCTACAGATTTTCCAAAGCATTTTTAAAAGGTCTATGTTGTTGTTGTTGTTGTTGCTGCTGCTGCTGCTGATGTTGTTAACTTTATTCTTGAGCTTTTTCCAGAAATGTCAATCAATTATCTGCATAGTGACCTAAATGGGCTGTGTACATGATGCCCATGTATTTCCCACTCCCTTTCTTCCCATCAAATCTTCAGATACACAACATTATATCAGAAAGAACAACAGCAGAAAGTAAACCTTGTAAAGCTGGGATCTTGTTTCTTTTAATTGTGAAGAAGATCTTTGTTTGGAGGCTTTTAAACAGAGACTGTATGCAATGCTTTTGACATGAAATAATCAAAAACAGAGACTGGATGGCCATCTCTCAGGGGTGCTTTGATTGTGCTCTTCCAGCATGGAAGCAGGGTTGGACTGGATGGCTGTGTGGTCTCTTCTAACTCTATGATTCTATGTCATGTGATTGTAAATGTTAGAGTGATGTTTCTTACTAAATTATTTTGTTATGATACTGAAATCAGCTTATAGTTTGTCAAATATTTAGTTTAACAGAATATGATGAATATTGCAGCACTGAAATCAACAGCCTGATCATTCCTCTTCTGTGGATGTCACATTAAGAATGGAGGCAAACTGTGATTCCAAGGAAGCAACGGGATGTACAAAAAGAGATGCAACCGTGTCCATCAAACATGTTTTCAGAGAAACTTTAACAATAAATATTCAGTCAAGACATAAATATTAAATCATTTCCCACTGTTTAAAAATACTGCATTGGAGAGAAAACAAAGCCAATATTTTAAAAAATGTAAAACAAACATATGCACACACAAGGGGAAATAAATGTTTTCCAGCTCTAAGACAAAATGCAGTAATATGAGTGGGAAGAGAGGCAGACCTAAGAACCAATATATATAATATGTAGTATGAAGCAGTAAGGTTTTTCATGGATTGTACTACAACTGCAGGAATGTACTTTCATATATACATACATGTATGTGGGTTAGGGAGCTGGATTTTTGTTTTCCCACTTAAAACATTTCTGAACATAGAAAAATGATTTGTGAGGAAGATGGTTGTGCTGAAGCTTTCACTGGAAGGTGTGTCTACACTGTAAAATTAAAGCAGTTTGACCAAAGCAAAACAAAAACCCAATTTAAACAGCTATGGTTCAATGCTATGGTATTTTTTTTTACTATGGACACCAATATGGTGCTGGTTCCTGTCACAGTGGGAAAAATGCCCCACATGAGACAGCCTGAAAACTACTGTTTAAAACTACTGCCTTTAAGCAGCTGCACTGGCAATATTCATTAGGTGCAACTGAAGAGCCTGTCCATACTCAGCAGGGTTTCTACGGTGCTATTCTTTGAACATCAGTATCTGTATGCATCACAAACTCTTGCTGAATTCTCCACAGACATTTGGAATTTCAAAGGGCATGCAGAGTGGGAAGAGGGAGCGACTCTTCTTTAAACAATGTCAAAACAGCAACAAACATCAACACTGAAGCCTTGTTCTGTGTTGCTATTCCCATGGTTTTTTGGATTGAAATGCATTCGAAATGAATTGGCATAACAATGTTCTGAGGGGTGAGTTTCGATGCATTCTGTTTAGAAAAGCAAGCTATACGAGTCTTTGAAATGTATCTGCATTTTAAAAAGGAACACATTACCAATTCTGCAGAAACCATTTTGCTGCATATATTAAACATAATAATAATAATAATAATAATAATAATAGACCTTTATTTATACCCCGCTACCATCTCCCAGAGGACTCAGTGCGGCTTACAAGAGGCCAAGCCCAAATACATCAATAAAACAACACAGCAATACAGACAATAAATAACTCATAAACAAAGCAATAAACAACAACAGTAACACCATGATGCATTAAAAACCTATGGCAGGGCCAAATGTAATAATTAAAATTTTAAAATACTGGCCATGGCCATGGATTGGTTCTGATGAGCAAAGAAAGTGTTAATGATCACCGCTCCTCCCATGTGCTTCCATGTTACTAAAATACACTCAAGCTCTACTCAAGTATGAAATATAACATTTTATTTTTATGGTAAAAAAAATGATAATCAGTTTTGATACCAATATCCATATATTTATTGGATCATGTTATGCCCTCAATGTACTAGCAGAAATCTTGGTCTTGAAACCACACATTCAGAAAAGAATGATTCTGGTAACATAATAACAATTTTAACATTCTGTTAACTGTTGCCTGAACCACAGAAGACGTTCTGATCGGATCAACATGAAATACAGCCTAAATATGAGGTGTATTTTGTTTAACGGTTGGTTCTCAATAACTACATCACATCCACTTTTTCCCTTCCAGTTATCCTACCAAGAAAGCCAATGGCATTTAACTGTGCCAAAACTTATAGACTGGTTTTTAAAATGATAAATCAATGACACAAAGTAATTCCTCAGTCAAATGATAACAAGCAGGATTCTTGAGAAGACACTCAATATTATGGAGTGATAGGTGGGGTCTTACATACAAATTGTGTTGACCTATTTGACATGCTGAAATATCCTTTAACACCATCCATTACTCTTTTGCTCCACACATCTCACTAACTGAATATATTGTTCAGCTGAAATCACAGGCCAGTTTCAAAAATAATGTCTCCTTCACCCAGCATTTGAAGACAAGATTAGGCAACTCATCTTGAAGTGATTAGTTTCACTATCTTATTCATATTTGATAGGGCACTTGTCCATTTCTTTGAAGTCAATATTATGGGACTTCCTGGATTCCATACCTCACTATGTTAAGGTAAAGGTTTCCCCTTTGACATTAAGTCTAGTTGTGTCCAACTCCGGAGGGTGGTGCTCATCTCCATTTCTAGGCCGAAGAGCCGGCATTGTCCATAGTCATGTGGTTGGCATGACTGCATGGAGTGCCATTATCTTCCAGCCAGAGTGGTACCTATTGATCTACTCACATTTGCATGTTTTTGAATGGCTAGGTTGACAGAAGCTGGGGCTAAAAGTGGAAGCTGCCCATGCTCCCCGGATTCGAAATGCCAGCCCTTTGGTCAGAAAGTTCAGCAGCTTAGGAGTTTAACCCGCTGAACCACCAGGGGCTCCTCCACTATGTTACTGCTGTGCAAATATCAGTACTTCCTTTAACTCAAAGCCAGACACAAGAACAGACATTTCAAGCAAGTGGAAACAAATTCAATCAATGCACTGTTAGAGAGGCTAGAACATTTTATTTCCAAGCCAAAACAAAGCACTGCTCATAGACAGAGATGGCTATCTATGAGACAGTAATGGTGTAAATAGATGAGAATAAAGGAGAATTATTGAATCTCTGGTGAGAAGCCTTAACGTGGATAAAGGCAATGTTTTCTGGATTATAAATCATATAGTTCATTCAATGTATGAGGAACATAGGCTATCACAAACCTTAATGAGGAATAATTTAGGGACTGGGTGGTTTAGCTCTAAGAAATGAAGTGTCATCTTTAAATATCAAAAGGGATGTCACGTGAAAGACATAACAAGCTTTATTTTTTTTGATGCTCCAGATACTAGACCATGAATCAATTGATTCAAAGTACAAGAAAAAAACTACCTAAACATGAGGACAAATATTGTTTGTTAAGAATTGTTTGTCAATGGAATGGTGTGGTGAATTCTCCATCTTTGGAGGTCTTCAAATAGAAGTGCATCTTTGAGGAATGCTTCAGTTGGGTATTCCATGTGGTAGGGAGCTGGTCTAGATAGACCTTGTGTACCCTTCAAATGATATGATTTTACCTTTTAAGAGATATCTATATCCACTGGTCATATACATTGAAGAAGGTATAAAACACTTTATGCTTTTGTGGCACTGATGATGCCTGGAGCATAAATATAAATTTAGCATATTTGGGAAGACTGAGTTAAGAAAGAGGATGTTCCATTAGAACATATTGATTACTTTAGCTAATGGAACTCACCTTAGGCACCCAGTGGCATTGCGCAGCACCTGTGATGAATGAAGTTGTAATTTGTGGTCATCCTGGAGTGGGGAGTTTTCCCATCCTGAATGAGGAATGATCACTGCATTAGTCAACACTGCAAGGGCATCCTGGATAATTGGCATTTTTAGTGCATCACAAGAAGACAGGTTCCAGAGAACTCCTAAAAACAAGGAAGGCAAAATAGTTAGGCATTACTTATAGAAACAGACAAGAGGATTATGGCATGCAAAAAAGATCAAGATAATTATTTGTTGTTTACTTGCCCTGGTATCACTATGGCTAATGCTGCTTAAAGGTGTGGTTGAAAAGTTACTTAGAACCCCCATCACTGAACTGTCAATTTCTTTAATTACTCAATTTCTGCAGAACTCAAGAAGGTATAGAGAGTATTCCCACTGGGACAGTGACTAGAGTAAGATCAGCTTCATTTAAGCAAAGGCTTTTCCTGGAGCATCACTGTAGCTGTGGAACTCCCTCCCTTGGGAGGTCAGCATTACTGAGATGAGAGGCAAGGAAAACTACTGTTCATATGCCTTTGGTTTTTAAAACAGTGCTTGGTCTGTGTATAAAGACAGTGCTCTTTCTGCTCTGTTTTTATATTGTCATTTCATTCTCCATTGCATTGGGAACCTGATGGGCAGAAAATACACACGAACACACACAAAGTAAACAAGGCTGATGCATCACAGACCTCAAGAGCTCTGGAATAATTGTTCTATATACTTGGCACAGCTGTCTGAGCATAAAGCAGATAAAGATGAGATGGGAAGGAACTGAGGAGCAAAGGGCACAAGCTTCTCTTGATCACAAGCTCATGTTGTGTATTTTCTAGCTAATGTTGAAAACTGAGCCCTAAGGACAATGTTGAAAACTGTCCACGTTGGATCCATCTTGGAAACTGTTATGTTACACATTTGACATTCCCTACATACACAGCTATATTTATTGATTCGTTTATATGATACCTTTCCATAAGTTTACATTATTATACAAAAAGCAAATTTTAGCATTAAATCTAAATGAAGGTATTGAAGATGTTAGAAAAGCATTTCAACCTTTTAGAATGGGGAAAAAAAAATCCAAACTGATTTCTGAGAAAATATCAAATGAATAGCAGTATTATGGGGAAATGCTTAAAATCCCAGAGGTTTGCACTGGGCCATTTTAAGTGCTGGTTGTGGGTCCAAGATGTGAAGTTCCTCATCATGATCTACACTGATTGACAGACTCTCCAATGTTTCAGACAGCGATCCTTTACATGCAACACATGTGGCCTATTCCTGAAGACAAGTACAGCTTGATAACACTATATAACAAAATTTGATTTTTTTTCTGTTCCTGGTTTGAAAGTGTTATTTTTGATTTATTTTTATAGTAAAATTTTATTGAGTTATCATATACATAAAAATAAAGAGAAAAAGTGAAAAGAAAAAAAAAAGAAAAAACAATTTACAAGTAAAGTGGGGGAACATTGGAGTGTTATTTTTTTATTTAATTGTGCGGTACTTATTTTGAAAAGAATTCTTATACTCCAGAAACTTTGTTTCTGTGACTGCCACAAACTCTGCTGAATCGGTTGAGATTCAATGGGATATTCATTGAGAAACTATAGCAAAATGTGTTGCAGAATGTCCCTCAAAAACAAAGTTTTCACAGTTTAATAAACTTTTCCCATGTTTATAATAGAACCAATTAGAAAAACATGTATAACCCAGGAAGAAAAATCATGTTATGTAGTTTAATCAGAGCCCAGAATTCCTATTCTGTGTATGAAATTTGACCATTCCACCATTACGTTTACAAAGGAAGCCCAAATCCCCCCTAAATACTATTCCTTTGTGTTCTTTGACTCTTTACTTTCTTCCACCAGAGTTAATTTATTTTTACACCTATGGAACAAGGACAGGGATGCTTTTCATGAAATGTGAAAATTGGGGTGAGGCAGATAGCCTCTTTTAACAAGAAATTCATGGTGAGGATACACACACCATCTTTCCTTCAAATGATTTTTTTTCAGACTACTATACATAGCTGTGCCATCTCTATATTAAAATTGCTGCTACATAAAATTACACATTTGTGTTTACCAATGTCAATATCTAAGCTAATGTCAAGAGTACTTTTGCAGAAGCTTATTAAAATAATTAACTGATTAAAAACATCTATACATGACACCTCTTTCATCCAACCATGATTCCTTTAATGTAAACCTGAATACATTTTTGTATTAAATGTCAAAATACTTGATAAAAAAGTACTTGTTAAATAGGACTAATGAAAACATTACATCATTTTAATTGCACAGATATCTACTAAGATAAACACAGTTTTCCCTTTTGACTTTTCATGCCCTAAAAATTTAACCTTAATGAATTTACAATTGGTCCTCTGCATCTGCAGAGTGTTAGGAGCATAGGGACACTGCAAAAGTATAAAAACTGTGAATATCTTAAGCCCTCTCTTATGTAACACTCACACAAAAAGTACACCATGCTTCAACCTACCTCCCATTGCTGTTGCCCCTTGTCATTTTTATTAGGGATTTATTGTGCTTCGACTCTTCAAGGATGCCATCCTTGAAGTGACTGGACTGACCTTGAAGGAGCTGGGGGTGGTGACGGCTGACAGGGAGCTCTGGCGTGGGCTGGTCCATGAGGTTACGAAGAGTCGGAGATGACTGAACGAATGAACAACAATGCTTCGCCTCACCTTTGCAGTCTTTCATAGGCCCCTTCTGCACTGACACCGTCCAACTCGGAACTGGTTTGGGAGGCACCAGTTTCACTTTGTGTTTAACCAGACTGCCATACCTGGAATCAATCCAGTCACGGCATGGAGACTAGGTTACATTTACCATGGAACCTAGTCTCAAACTACTGTGCCAGGTTTGCTTCCCTATATCTGAAAGTGATGTGTATCAGTGCACCAGAGGCATAAGGGTGGGGGAGAAAAGGGATTGTGACAGTTCACAGCAGAGGTAGCACACTGCCCCTCCCATGGGGTCAATTAGACCCCTACTAGCTAGTCATGTCCTTAGGGCACTTTTCGGCCACCCGCATTTGGGATTGTTTTCTGCACCTCAGCAGCCATTGGTGTCTACAATGTTCTCAGCATTATGAGGAGCCAGTCTTTCCTGAATCTGGGATACACTGGGATCACTTGCATCACATTCTACAATTTATATTGAACTTTGTTGATACTTTTTTAAAAATGCACTGCTTCCCATTCAACTTGTGCTACAGCACACATTGGAAGTGTACATTTTGTGGCAACCGCAGTCTCAAGAACATCTGCTCGCTAATGACTTCAGTGGATATAATTTTTTCTTCTCCCTGGCAGACTCCCAGGCTATTCTATGTATAACATGGGTGTAAAAAATCTAGATGCCCCAAACTGGCTAGTTAGTGTCAGAGAAGAACACATTTCCAATTTACAGAGAACCCAAAATAATCCTATTGTGAGATTTTCTTGGCTAGATCTACAGGGGCGGGGGGATTGCCTCTATCTTCCTCTGAGGTTTGGAGAATGTGGTTTGGCCAATATCACTCAATAGGATCGCAAACCAAACTGGCAGTCTCCAATGCTCACTTCATTATACCATGCTGATCCTCTGCAAATAGAGCAGACCCGCTGAATCAATGGAAATGGCATAAGTATTCACAAACCCTGTTCCCATGAGATCTATTTTGGTTGGGACTCAACAACTGGATTTAGGCATAAGTGCTATTATGCTGTTTGAATGATTTACTTCTTTTCATTTCTAATGGAGCCTGTGCTGCTTGGCAAAGATAATGAGTCTATTATGTACTATTTTTTTCCTAAACTAATTCCCTGAATTAATAAAAAGATAATTATCTTCTAAAATTACACGAATTATACCCCCCTAGATGTTTTAAACTGCTCTATTGAGCTGGAAGTTAACATATTTGAGGAATCAGATGTGCACCATTTTTCAAAAATATATGTACTAACATCAGGGAATTTAAAAATACTTGAACCAGTAATTTAAATTGAAAGTTTCTTCTGGCAATGTGAATTGTGACTGAAAATGTGTTGATTTAAAGCATTTACATCCTAGCCTTTCCAACCACACTTGATAGGCAGAGTTTAGAGCATGCATAAGATTGCATCCTACATAAAGCAGGGGTTGATATATCATCCTAGTTTTATTTCCCACATGCTAAGTCAAACATGCTTGCATGTTTGTGTAAATAAGTCTATTCATCGTTAAATGAGTAACATAAAACAGCATGAGTCTCACCTATATTTCACCATGTAATAGTTGATCCCCTTTTTTAAAAGAGAAAAAAGGAAATAGTGCAACTATTATGTGGCAAAATACGTTATTTTACTTGTGCATGTAAACAATTTAAAACACTTCATAACAAGATTTGAATTTTTCTGTACCTGTTTAACTGGATTAATTGCTGAGCCTGGATCTCCAGGTTTCGGCGGTGACCAGGGGAGCATTTGCACAATTAAAACTTGTGCGCCAGGTGCGCCCGTACCTTGGGAAGTCTGACTTGGCTACGGTGGTCCACGCTCAGGTTACATCCCGTATAGACTACTGCAATGCACTCTACATGGGGTTGCCTTTGAAGACGGCCCGGAAGCTTCAAATGGTCCAGCGTGCAGCAGCCAGGTTGTGGGGCTCAGGGAGCATACAACTCCCCTGTTGAATCAGCTCCACTGGCTGCCAGTCTGCTACTGGGCTCAATTCAAAGTGCTGGCTTTAGCCTATAAAGCCCTAAACAGTTCTGGCCCAGTCTATCTATCTGAATGCATCTCTTCCTACGAACCCCCCAGGAACCTAAGATCGTCTGGGGAGGCCCTGCTCTCGATCCCACCTGCTTCGCAGGCACGTCTGGCGGGGACGAGAGACAGGGCCTTCTCTGTGGTGGCCCCCTGGCTGTGGAACTCCCTCCCCAGGGATATTAGATCAGCCCCCTCCCTCCTGACCTTCCGGAAAAGAGTAAAAACTTGGCTCTTCGAGCAAGCATTCAGAACCCCGGAGTAAACAGAAAAACTAGAGTTGGAAATTGACCCAGGAGCGGCCAAGACAATGTAACGGATGAAGATTTGAACAGAGGACATAGTTTCTTTTAAAATTGTTATTATGCACAGTCGTTTATGTTTAATTGCACTTAATGTTTTTGCTTTATCAATGTATGTATTTTGTTTCGGCATCGAATTGTGCCGACTGTGTATACCGCCCTGAGTCGCCTTCGGGCTGAAATGGGCAGGATAGAAATAATGTAAATAAATAAATAAATAGTACTTAATTTGAAATAAGTTGTTATATTCCAGAAAATTTGTTTTTGTGGATGAGAGTAGTACTTTTATTTGCTTCAGTTTAGGCACTTCATTTGTAATTTTCCTTAATGAATGTGCAGACCATAAAAACAAAGTTTTTGCAGTTTAATAAACTTTTTCCATGTTTTTATGATAGAACCAATTAGGAAAGGACATTTACAATGCAGGAATAAAAATTGTGTTACATAGTGCAATTAAACAGACATTCCTTCTTGGATCACCGCTTTTGCCAGTGGGTTTAATTGATAAGTTCATTTAACAGTTAGCAACAATGCTATCTGGGGAAGTAATGTCATTTCAATGAATGGTGGCTTGAGGATTTTTGTCCTTCAACTTTAAACAAGAATCTTAACGATCTTCTAACACAAATATGTAAAGCTTGAAATCATATTCTTTTGAAGAAGGAAAACTAACTTAAGGAACAGCTTCTGACACTAAATTGGTAGATGTGGTCCAGAAAGGTGGCTTATTTAAATAAATAAATGTGAATGACAAAAAAGCTCATAGATTACAAATGCATGAGGCCTCAAAAATCTTGCTCAGACAATTAATTAAACTCAGTGCTTTGATGAATGAGTGTAGGTTTGCATGGTTTTTGATGTAAAGAGCCCCAAAAGAAAATCTAAAAAGAAAACCAGGGTCTTCTTACACTCATTTTTTCCATTTTTTCCTGAATACGTTTCCCTCAAAAATATACAAAAACCCAAAATAAAAAATGGATTAAAGAAAAAAATTATTTGAGCGTGATGAGCAAAATGTTTAAAACAGGCTGTACTATGTGATTTAATATGCCCACCATATTCCTGGTTACTGGTTGTTGAGGTTGGTTTGATACACTTTTATGATGTATTTATATTTTGCCATTTTCAATTGTTTTAATTAGATTGTTTATGTTGTATTATATGCTATTATGTTTCTAACTAAGTTTTAGCTGGTAAATTTTGCTGCATTGTGGGCTTGGTCCCCATGTAAGCTGCCCCAAGTCCCTTTGGGAAGATGGTGGCGGGGTATAAAATTAAAGTTGTTGTTGTTGTTATTATTATTGTTATTATTATTAAACACATATTTTTATGTTAGATTACTAACTGCATGATAATTGCAATTTCTGGTGTTTTCTAATTCCTCTTTATGGGAATGAGTGCTTTTATCTTGTTGACTTTACCACGGGGAAAACAAAATAGTGTTCTATATTTTGCTAATGTTTGTGGTTTTGTTTCTTCCCTGCTTTCAGGACTTTATAATTCTATTTGTAAACCTGCATCATCAAACCAAACCTAAACAAAGAAAGGAAAATGAAATTCTATTTGTAATTAATATCTAAATAAGTTGTTTTTTAATACACCAAATATGATAATGTATGCTAAAGAAAATGTACACAATTTTATCCCAGTGTAAAGGTCTCCAGAAGCTCTGATATTTTTCTGTCAACACTATTCACACCATGTTTAACATGTCATGCCCTTTCATTTATTTATTTATTTATTTATTTATTTACCTTACTTATATACCGCTGTTCTCAGCCCGAAGGCGACTCACAGCGGTTCACAACAAATACGAACAGCAAAAATTCAGTGCTACAGTATAGAAACAGTTAACAACCTAACACATTACACAATTAATAAACAGTTACTACAATACCCATTCACTGTCGTCTCGTCATCAAAAACATGTTCCAGATTCATCATCCATTGTTCCATTCCAGTGTTCATTAACCAATCATTGCACTAATTATTTGAACGCCTGCTCAAACAGCCAGGTCTTCACTTTTTTGCGGAATACTATTAGAGATGGTGCTAGTCTAATGTCCGTAGGAAGGGCGTTCCACAGCCGAGGAGCCACCACCGAGAAGGCCCTATCTCTCGTCCCCGCCAGCCGAGCTTGAGAAGCAGGCGGGATCGAGAGCAGGGTCTCCCCGGAAGATCTCAAAGTCCTGGTGGGTTCATAGGCAGAGATGCGGTCAGATAGGTAGCTTGGGCCGGAACCGTTTAGGGCTTTAAAGGCCAACGCCAGCACTTTGAATTCAGCCCGGTAGCAGATCGGTAGCCAGTGGAGTTGGCGCAACAGGGGGGTTGTATGCTCCCTGCGCTCCGCTCCTGTTAAAATCATGGCTGCCGAGCGTTGGACTAGTTGGAGCTTCCGAGCTGTCTTCAAAGGCAAGCCCACATAGAGAGCGTTGCAGTAGTCTAAACGGGATGTAACCAGAGCGTGGACTACCGTGGCCAAGTCAGACTTCCCAAGGTACGGGCGCAGCTGGCGCACAAGCTTTAGCTGTGCAAATGCTCCCCTGGTCACCACCGAAACCTGGGGTTCCAGGCTCAGCGATGAGCCTTTCTTTCATGTGAATTTGAAAACCTTTAAAGATGGAAAAAAATCAACAAACTAATTAAGCATGTAAATTCAAAGATTTTTAAGCACTAGGGGAAACTAACAACCCCAGCTCTAAACTTTTTGTAATATTCATAAATCATGTAATACTTCAATGTAAATTTTGGTGGTTTAAAAAAATTCTAATTAGAATCCGTTCATAAAAACATTACACATTGTATGTGAGATAATGCATGTTTTTATTCTTTTACATACTAATGGCTACTGTATTTTATAGATATGCTGCTTATATTTCATTCACTAACTACTACGTATCTTTCATCTTATACTGTGAAAAAAAGGAAGAAAGTAAACGATAATATCTAAAGGCAACCAACTGAAAGTTCTGTTAAGTGCTGTTTCCATTTAAGTTCATATGCTTCAAAAACATACCATACTGAGACACAGAAATGAAGTGCTTGAAAAACAAAAAAGTCGATCCTATCTAATCCATATCCATTGGTGTCATATAGCTGTCTATCTCTCTCCTAAGCAGATAATGCAGAAGCTTTCATGCTGTATGTGAACTGTAATTGATTTAGATGATTAACAGTTTGCTCTCTATTTGTTCAGAGTGAGATTGCAGACTGCTCCCTGGAGGCAAAAGGACAGTCAAAACAAGGAAACACTGAGGCAGGATGTTGACTCTAACTAACAAGTTTTGCTTTATGGGGCCTGCCAGTAATTCTGTCACTCGGCAGGGTGCAGCTCCTGAACACCATGTAGCACAGCATCCTTGCGGCAATAAGAATCTAATTAATCCTGCCTAACAGGTAAGAGATGAAAAGTGGGATGATTAAGACATGGAACTGAATTTATATTTGTATGTGCATTTAAACATCTACATTTTGAATCCATAGCTGGAGTTGAATCACATAGCCTACAGTGCAGGAGAATTCTATACCTGATTATTTTCTTGGCAGGGATGATGTCATTAAAAAGAACACTGCATATTTACCAAGTGTCTTAATATTTTCTTTGTCTAACCGCCCCCTCCCTCCCAAGGAATCAACTTGCTGTGGGGGAATTTAGTCCAACTCCCAATTTTCAACTACAGCATGAATTAAAAAAAGAAAGGCTGACAAAATTTACAATTAAAACTGCACAGCATCATATCACAAACCTATTTCCCCATATAATATCCCGGAACAATCCTATTACTAGACATATACTTGATTGGCAAAATGGTTTCCTAATGAGCCCATGTTTATGATATATATGTTTTGCAAAGCCTATGTACATGATATATGTGTTTGCAAATGAATGATGACCTCCACATATTTTTCATCCTTTCCAATCCCAAGGTTATGCATTAAATATCTTAACCACAATCCATCATGGGAGTTAGGTGTGCTTTAAACTCATTTAGATCCCTTGCTTGGCTAACCAAGTTCTGAAAAGCACCAAATACCGTACTTATTCCTAGCTAGCCCTTCAAATATGATAGATGAAAGATAATTCAAACCTGTGACAAGTTCTCTGATTTCCAAATCTGTGGCCTTGCGGAGTAATCGTACTAATGCTGGAATACCCCCACAGTTTTTCAAAGCAATTTTGTTGTCATCGTTGGCCTTCCCATACACCAAGTTCCTCAGAGCTCCGCAGGCACTACGGTGGACTTCTGTCATCCGATGGTCCAATAGGTCCACCAGCAATTGTATTCCTCCTTGTCTCCTTATCTGCAACAACAAAATCAAATCAAAAGGGTGAAAGGCTGCCCATGAAGTTTAGTGTATCATCAAATGTAGATCGGTTTGAGTGAGAATCGAGGATGTGCTAAGATAACAAAGTGCTGGACCAACTTTCTTTATTTCGAAGGTTAGTCACAAAAGGATAAATGTGTTTATCTGGTGAGGAAAGCAGTGATCAAAACAGCAAGCAATGAAAGAACTGCTTTGAAAAAGGAAACAAAACAAGCTTCCTGCAGAAATAAAAGACACCGCCTGACTTAATATTTGTTGTATTTCTGGAATATGCTACCTGTCATGAAAATTACTGCCAGGAACAACAGTTCTAAAATGCTTGTAATAACTATGAATTGACACTGCAGCTTCTACAGGCCTATTAATTGGAATGAGAAAAGGAGGAAATGATAGCTTTGCATTTATAAAAAGTTATAAAAACATAATTAAAAGCAAATCTCTAATTTAAGGGCAATGAAGTCATAGTTCCCCCTCCAAAAAAAAAAAAACCAACAACTTTTTATGCTTTGTTTAGATTTTATCAAGGGAAATGTATCAAAATGTAAAGTAGTCACAATGAAAACTGAGAGTGAAAGTGCAAAAGACATATTGAAAATAGATGAATTGTAAGTAAGCCAATTAAACCAGATTCGTTCTACTTGGCTGAAGACTTAGACAAGAAAGTGCATTTTGAAAAGACTGTGTATAATTTCTGGAGTCCTGTCAGTGCATTCCACTTAGGATACTGTGCTTTCCCCAGGACTGAAAAGATGGAGAGGAAAGGCAGGCAAAACCTGCCAAAGCCAAGCAGGCTATTCCTCTGATGTTTTACTTGGTTTATAGGTGCTGCCATTGTTATGCCAGAATAGAGAACCACTAGGATTCCTGATAATATAAACAATGCAGGTGACATAAACAATATCATTGTCAATAAGAGTAAACAGTACATACAACACTGGTGGCAGGTTTCCTCTAATACACAATGCCCAATGGGAAAGACTCCAGGGTAAAGCTGGTAGCAGGCTTATACCAGGTATCTTTTCTCAATCTAGTTAAGATAGTTTTCTTTTACTTTAAACTGGTGGCTTCATGTTTTAATAACATTGCATTAAGATGTTAGGCCACTTTGGGGTTTTAAACTGAAAATGAAGATTTCTTTCCCCTGGTGGAGCAATATGTTAAAACCTTGTGCCGGCAGGATTGAAGACCAACAGGTTCAAATCCAGGGAGAGCATGGATGAGCTCCCTGTCAGCTCCAGCTTCCCATGCGGGGACATGAGAGAAGCCTCCCATGTCCCCGCATGGCGTCGCCTGGGCAACGTCCTTGCAGACAGCTAATTCTCTCACACCAGAAGTGACTTGCAGTTTCTCAAGTCGCTCCTGACATGGAAAAAAACAACTCCTCAAGTTACGAAGAAGATAGGTTCTGTAGGTTTGTTCTTAAGTAGAATTTGCTTATAAGTTGGAAGGTAAATTTTTAAGTGTGCCTGTGTGGGTGTGTGCTCTCGGTGAAATTGCTGACTAAAAGGTCGGTGGTATGAATCTAGGGGGCAGGGTGAGCGCCCGCTGTTAGCCCCAGCTTCTGCCAACCTAGCAGCTCGAAAACATACCAATGTGAGTAGATCAATAGATACCGCTCCTGCGGGAAGGTAATGATGCTTCATGCAGTCATGCCGGTCACATGACCTTGGAGGCATCTACAGACAATGCCGGTTATTTGGCTTAGAAATGGAGATGAGCACCACCCCCTAGAGTTGGACATGACTGGACTTAATGTCAGGGGAAAACCTTTACCATATATATCGTTACCATATATATATCTACACACATAAGCATTGGATAGCATAGGAAAAAATTAACATTCTTGTTTGATTTGCTGTCTGTACCCATTCAGAGATTTTACCAAAGTTTCTGTCTATGTAATAATTGGATTTTGAAATATTTGGCTTGCTGTGTACACAAGCATTGGTGAGAAAGTTTCAGTGGAGATACCTTTCCCTCATGAGAACTCTTTCAGGAGTTAATTTATTTATTATTTATTTATTTACTTTGCTTATATACCGCTGTATCTCAAGCCCGAAGGCGACTCACAGCGGTTCACAAACAGTAAAAACAGTAGAAACAGCAGAAACAGCAGTGGTTCCATACAACATATAATTTCCCTTCTTAGGGACAGTTTCCTCTCCATGTTTTCTCACTCCTGTTCTTAACTACGAGTCATTTATAAGCTGGATGTTTGTAACTTGAGGACTGCATGTAAAGTCATCCCTCCACATGGTAGTTTTGCAGATTTGATTATTCAATGAGGCAATCCCAGCACCCCACACACCATCTCAGTGGAAGCAAAGCTTCCCCATCACATATGGGGAAGCATAGCTAGGCAGCTTGTCCCCACATTGGCCCTGTGGTTTCCAATGTGTTCTGGGCACTGTGTCATAGAATGCTTGGACTCCAGTGAATTGACAGGGCCCTGCTGGAAGTGAGTCTGCATTGTGTGATGGGCAGTGTGGAGCTCTGTCAAGCAGCTGAGCTGCAAGCATCCTAGGATGCTTGCAGCCTATCGTGTGATGAAGTCCTTAAACGTGGGGCTATAAAAATGTAAGGTCCTCTATTCTATTAATGTGGATCCAAGGATTATCTAGAGTTTGCTCCACTATCTATAAAATAAGAAATATCTATCCCTGAAATTTGAAGCAAACCCTTATATGGTAGTGGTGAATGACATAAAAACTATGTCAAGATTGTTGCGCAGCAGTGGATTTTACCCAGCGTCCAAAGTCCAAATGCAATAGACTTACAGACAAGAGGAAAGATGAACAGAAAAATCTTTACTCTTTACTCAGCAGAGATGAAACATAAACTTGTAATGTTGCATACAAAAATCAAACAATGCAAAAAACTTGCATAGTCCTTGTAAATAACACAAAATAAGGCATCTTCATCTTAAATCAAATGAGAGAGCAAAACATAAACCTTGAGTAAATAGCTATTCCACCATAGCCTCCTTCAGAGTAGCTTCTCCATGCTGCTCCCCAGAGCAAAGCCTTTGAGCATAGATCTCCGCAGAGAAAAAGCTCTCCAGCTCTCCAACACCGACACCTACACTGTATTCTAAAAAAACCCATACATATATACCCCACTGGGTGTGGCCCAAGCTTGCTGGTTGATCTACATTACCAGCTGTACATAATTACCATCATGAGATTTTTCTTCAACACACACACACACACATACACACACACACACACACACACGGTCCTGCTATGACTTAGCACAACAAAGATTATGCACATTAATGCATTTAGATATAATCTGGCTTTCTTTTAAATGGGTGAAGATAGTAGGTGGGGAGAGATTGTTCAGTATTTTAAAAACATAGTGAGACCTGTTACCATTTCTTAAATATGCCTCAATGTTTTAAGATATCATAACAGCCTGCAAAAAAGTAACAAGTTCTGTTAATGGGCAAATACACTATATAAGAGGGTATACTGGAAAGCACATTCAAGCAGAGTAATTAAAAAGTTGATTGAGGAACATAAAGAGAAGAACCACACCCCTAAGAACTGTGTAAGAAGAAATACCCAATTTCTTCCCATATTTTCTTCTTCAAAATGGTAACAGCTTATACAAGCGAAGGAATATTTTTACTTGGCAAGCAGTAAAGACATTGCATTCACCTTCCTCTGCCTCCTCACTTTCGCCTTTCACTGCCTGTGATAAGTACCAGCCAAGGCACTTACTCATCCTAACTGCCGGGAATGAATTACAGAAGGGTGTGTAAGTGGCTGTGCAGCCTGTAAGCCTACTGCTCCATTACTGTTCTGTTACCTGTCTTTGAGTGAGCATCAAGGTCATTCATTCCATTTAGAAATGTAAGAGAGCTTGAAAATCCTACAAGTTCCATATAACTTGTTCATCTCTACTATAATGGAGAAGGACTAACATGTACAATCAACAGTTCCTCTCATTTTTAAAAAATCAGATATGGGCAACAAATAAGCAAACTACCTATTTGGAATCAGTTCAGAATGAACCCCTTCTGTTCTTCCTGTCAAGCTTTTGTTTCTTAGAAAGCTATGATTCCTTTGAAACATGCCAATTGCTGTAGCCTGGTCAGATTCTGAGTGCTCAGAAGATGAGGAAGGGAATGCTTTAATAGATTTAAAGGGCCCAGAGGAGGATAGAAGTGGCCTGGAGAGAGTTGTTTTGGAATCTCCTGGCAGTTCCCATGAGACTGGAGAAAGTGGTATCAGTTCTCATGAGAACCAGAAGTGCAGGCTGAGAGAAATGTGGAGACAAATGTTCATCCAGGTCAAGGTGCTTGGAAATTAGGAGACAGAGTATGCAACAAAGACAGACTCATTTTTCCCAGAGGTTTAGAGAAAAGGAGAGGAAAAGCAGGTGTGTGAGGAATGATGTAATGGGAGGGGCTGAGGCCCTTTAAAGTGGTTCCTGCTGGTACAATGCTTTGTGAGAGCAACACTGTATTCAGGTGAACAGTTTTTGGTTCTTGGCTCTACGTTTTTGGAATTCATGTACTCAAGTTTCAAAGTTTGTTCCTGTTTCTAGTTCCTGTGTGACATAGGTTGCTTGCCTTGGATTGCTTGCCTTGGATCCCTCCCCCCCTATGAAGGCCTGTTTCTTTGACCCCATTTTTATGAGCTCTTCCTCACAAATAATCTGCTCCATTCCTATCTCCCCCTGAGTGTTTAGTATTTTATCCTGTACATGTGGCCTGCTCACTGTCACTGTGATTGTGAAATGATTTTTATTGTATTTTATACTGTATACTCTATTCTCATGTTTTATTTATTTTATTGTGTTGTTGTGTTATGCCTTGGTTTTATTTTATTTTATTGCAATGTGTTGTTGGGCTAAGTCACCCCGAGTCCCTGTTGGGGAGATGGTGGCGGGGTATAAATAATAATAATAATAATAATAATAATAATAATAATAATAATATTCATGCCATCATGTTTATGGATATTTCTGTT